AAGGAAAGTGAGAAGAGCATCCATCAAACCACACAACACTGTGTTTAATACAAACACAGTGAACTTCTATATTCCTTTGCTGGCTCTCAGCAAAGAATTCATGTCAGATTTGGTTTTGTTTGGTTTGATTTGGGGAAAGGGAGTTTCAAGTCTCTGCTGGTTCAACTGAAGAAGGAGTGACCTCATTCAAGAGATATACTACTCAGGAGGGCTTCTAACTTCCAAGATATTTTGTGTGTGTCTCGATGTATGCTGGAGGAAGGGAAAAAGCAAAATCACTTCCCCAGCCTTCATCCACGCACTCACCAATGTACTATCCTGGTCATCCAGAAATGCTTAAATAAATGATAGCATAGAAAAGGGAGCACAGGAGGGGAAATCAGTTTGTTCAAACAAGCTTCATCATCAGCCATACTACCATGTTTCATGTCCCAAAACTGGCAGTCACCTGTCGTCTGCAGAAATGCTGCAGAAAATAAATTTTAAATAATGGTAAAATTGTATACCTGCATGAAACTTATTTTACACCTTACACACAGAACACTAGTGTTACTCTTGACTTTTGGTCTTTTTTAACCTTCAGGCAAAAGGCTATAGTAAGGAATGGCATTTGCAAAGTTCCTGCAAAGAAGTGGGAGCTAGCACAGAATAAAGGTAGACAGCACTATCGAAAAAAAAGAGATATGCAGTTTTTTAGCAGCTCCTTCTATGAAGTCTCACCAAGCATTAGCATTACCCCCTCTGCTGGCAATGTCTTGAAATGATACTGGTAAATTAGCTCCTGTTAACACTTAAAATTTATTCTGCTTCCCAGCTGGTAAGGAACTGGCACGAAGGGGGTAAGCTACAGCTTCTTCTAGGAGAGGCTTGGTTTTGCTCCCTGTACATATGGAAATAACATATGGCTTATCATCACTTCAGCCTTTTAGAAAACTCACCTGCCAGACTTCAAGCAGGACTTACAAAAATATACTGTGGTCAACAGAAGGCCAGAGAGCCCTCATTCCTCGCTGAATGAAAGAAATAACTCTACATAACTGCCTAGACATTAAACAGTCATTTCAGACTTCAGCCTGAGTGGGACTCCTCATGGTGCAAAAAATCCCACACCAGACTTGCAAAGTTTGCAAGTCCTCAGTTTGGTTGCACTTTCGCATGCTCAGAGCTCAAAAATTAAGCAAAGTAACATACAATATAAGAAGTAGTAGTTTCCAAGTGTGGATTCACATTTGAGAGTATTCCATCCCACATTTAATAAAAAAGGTTAAAGAAGTGTTACCTCTTAAGTTCTGTAAGTGCAATAGTATATTTGCTGCTTGAGGATTCAAAATAAAACTCCAAGAGCATTTCCTTCTGATTTAATTGAAGCATAGTTACACTTCAACACAGACGCGTGTCTCACTGAGATTCACCTCCATGTGAAAGGTGAAACGGAGTGAAAATTACAATAGGCGATTTAAAAGAAAAGTATACAGGCCTAGTTTCAGATCATTTCATCAGCATTTACTGTTCAATTTCTCGCTCACCTTAGGGCATCTTTTCAGCAACTGAGCAGCACCAGACACAGTGCAACTGTGACATCTAGTGGTCAGGAAATAAAACACTTTCCACTCCTAAAACAGTAGACTCTAAAAACCAGCATTTGTGAATTTGTGGTTTACACCTACCTTTTGTATAACCGCTGACAGAGGCGACAGTAACAATCTGTTACAAGAGAGGTGAGACTAAAAGATCTAGCATGGAATTACCTTAGAACAGAAATTCAAGTCCTTTTATCAGGACAGAGTGGAGTAACACTGTGCAAGTGAAGAACTAGCAGAGAGCAGGATACAGTATTTGTGACTGCTTTCATTAATGCAGAATGAAAAAAAAAGGCCAAATTCTTCGAAGGCTTCTGTTGTGAAGGAGTAGAATGAATGGTCTAGTTGTCAGCAATAGGCAATAGGCCACTTCCCAAAAGTGTACTTATCTATGAGAAGGAGTAATGCACAAACACCTCTGTCTACTCTGTGTTTGGATGGGAGACAAACAGTTGCTTTAAGAAGCAAAAACAAATTGGGGAAGTTGATAAGGATAGTGAAAATTGCAGACTGAAGTGTGACACAACAAAAAAGATCTACCTTTTATTTATTATCAAAAACTGCACCAATAACAATTTCTACTATAATTAACTAATTTTATACTTCATAAAATTCTTACTTTTCATGAGCATTTTTTAAACAACTTCAATGAAACTGGAACAGCTGAATACCTTAGAGTAAGAGTTATAGGTCTTAAAGACAGGTTTAGGTAGGTACAATACCAAACAATTTCAGCCACTGCTAGGTGGATGCATAGTCATTTAAGTACAAATGGATTACTCCACACACACAAATCCAAGATCTTTTAAGTCAAAACAAATTTACAAACAGTATGTGTATAACAGTACCCCTATAGAATAAGATCTTATACTGGAATTGTTTGTTTAGCATACCGGTTGCCTTGAAAAGGACCAAAATAAGAATTCTTTCTATCCTGGAGTAGTCCTAGAGAGAAAGTTCTACTTTCACAGCAACTCTGAACTCCAGCTTTAGGAGGAAACTAAAACCCAGTAACATAAAAAAACTGGATATTTAGTTTTACTTCCTAGAAAAATGAGAGTTATTTATGCTCTTTGTCCCTTTTCTTTCCATGACTTAAAATGCTCCAGCAACTTAAAAATCCACACAGCAATCTCAACCATATTTGAGAGGGGACTAGAAGTTTCATTCAAGTCTTGAAAAAAAAGAAAAAAAAGGGAGAGGCAGAGGAGAGA